AGCGACTTCCTTGCGAGCTGAGGGCTGCGAGCTGCTCCTGCCCCTCAAGGACGACCTCGCATCCTTGTGGCGCCAGTTTATTGGAATCGGTCTGTGGCCAGGCGATTATCTGATTGCTGGCGCGGCACTATGGCCATCCTGATGTGGCATGTAATTTGATTATATGCAGGCAGGCAGGCCACAATGTTTGTCTAATTGACAGTAATTAAACGAAAACGAATAGCTCGGGCCATAGTCGTATAGAGCCAGTGAGCCAGTGAGCCACAGTGGCGGCAAATTTGCCACATCAGCCTGGATGTCATAGGCAAATTGATGGATGATGACTGGGACTATGGCTAAGCAACAGCTCGGTCATGCGTGTGTCGTTGGGGATTGTTGGGGCTTGTCCTGCCAGGATAACCTGCAGAGTCACTCGAATATTAAATAAAAATCAACACAACAAAGTGTTGCACTCTGACACAGCAACACTCGCTGCAGGGAGCTCTACAGTCTATCTTCCCTACAGCAAACTTCCGCTAAGTACTGCAAAATTGTATGCCAGTTTAACGGCAAAACTTTGTGAAATAGCAAGAACTTTGAACTTTCATAACTCAAATGTCTCAATTGCTCAAATGAAGTTTTAGCGCAAAATTACTTAGCCAAATGATGTCAAGGAAAAGTCAGGGAAAGCAGATTCTCAGATACATAGTAGAAGCTACTTAGTTGCCTTTAATTCCAAAGGAGAATAATGTAATGTGGACTTTGCTGCACGTTTTCATTAGAAAATGTTACATTATCTTAAACATATTCACTTTGAATATTATTATATAATATTTTATCTACTCTTTTAAAATATCATTGTCAAATAGGTAATTTGCTTACTACACTTAAAGCCATTTTCAACTGATACATATATATTTAACTATTATAACAAATTCTCCAGTGGACTTATCGAATTTTAACCTGTCAAAGTCAATTCTCTTAGGTTTTAGAAAGCTGTCTGACTACAAATAGTAAATAAATTGTATATCCTCAACACGCACTAATATTTGTACATTTATGGCAATGACATATATCGACACATTTACATTCAAATTCTCGTATTATAGCAATTTTGACAAACGAGAATGTGCTAAAAATCAGTCCATATGATGGGTTTGAACAAGGATTTTGATGGATGGACAACTCCGTATGTCACACACTATCCATTATGAGCCACTGCAGAACTTGGCAATGGTTCGGATTATAGAAGAGCGACTGTAAAATAATGCTGGCAGGGATCAGGGGGCGTGTCAGGGCTGGGATTTCGAAATGCCAATGTCAGGGGCCACGTCAAAGGCACTGCCACTGCCACTGCCATTGCCATTGCCAAGGGGCCCTGACGCGTATTGCCAAAAACTGGATTTTCGATTGGTTTTCGGTCGCTTTTATGCTCCCTGGGTGGTGACCTCGTCCTCCTCCTCTTCGGAGGAAGGCCTCAATCGCAGCAGCAGCAGCAGGAGCATTGTGTTGGAATGGCTCCATGTGAACATGTGTGTGGTAATGTGGCTGCTGCATTTGCAATTTCTAAATTCTCGATGGCATGCAAGGGCAGCAGAATTTGCACTGGCAACAAGAACAAGTCCATGGAAATGGCCCGAAAAAGTTGCAGCTTTAGTTTGCTGAAAACTGGCGGCGGCGTCGTTCACCTGTCCGTCACCGGATTTATAGCCAAGGGCTCTTCGTTCCCTCCACTCTACCATTCTGGCACTCTGGCGCAACTGCATTTGGCCAGGGGATTTTGGCCCCGATCCGTTCCAAACTTTTGGTATTTGGCCACGGGTCGGTCAGAGCCGAGGACTATGTGTACTTTGGAAGTACAGAAATAGCAAGAGCCGTATGAAAAGTTTATCAGCCCGAAACGAAATAGTTGGGCGTAAGACTTTGGAAATCCCATAAATGTTGCCCGAATATTTCTTAAATTTGTAAAGTAAAAAAATAACTTAAACTGGGAAATTGTAAGGATTTCATTGCTAAGCAAAGATTATAAGAAAAGTTTGTAATTACTTTTTGGTTGGCTGCGTGGGTACTTAATGATGGTTCTAGTTCGCAACTCGTTACTCGAGAACTGATTGACTGTTTGACTAGTCAACGCTAAAATCAATTGTGGTCCCAACTGGGCCAACTCAAAGTCACAGCATAGGTCACTCTAGGGAGCCCATAATCCCGAATTATCAATCACTTCGACAGGTCGGTAGGGCTGACTAATTAATATTTAAGGCCAAAGTTTTGATAATAGCAGTGCCATTATGCAGGTGATGTGCTTAACATCAAAGTGCCCGCAAACACAATACGGGGCACATAAATAATGTTGCCCACTTCTGTGGTCGAAACATATACACAAAGCCAATTTGAAGCCCCTTTCAGCTTGACTGAAATTTGATTAAGTGAGTGCCACACCCGCCAAAGGGGGCAAAATGGGGCCATCAATTTAAATCACTCGGTTGCGGTGCCATAAATAGGGGTTGCAGTTGAAACTGCGGGACGCTCGGCATATTAGCAGACATTTTTAACAATTCCCTTTAAGGCCGGAGATCGCTCTTGGCCAAGGTGAGTGAGCCGGGCCAACAGACAGCCAGATATCCAGGCAAAACGAATGTTTGAACCCGAATGGCGTCGTTTAATCAGGCAAAGTGATTTCGCCTCACACGCACACGCGCGTACTTAGGCACAATCAACTTATCATTTCGCACATATGTATGCATATATTTGTTAGCCAGATAGGGCAGGAACCTGGAAGAAGAAGAGGAGGAGCGGCCAGGACCTTCCCACGTAGACAGGAAGCCAGCTGATGCTAAGGTAGTTTAACCTTACGCAACGACCTGACTGTAAATCTACGCTATCATGCAAAGTTCCTGCCGACTCCCGGTCCTCTACACATTGAAAAATATTTAAGGACCCCAAGGACCTCTTTTAAAATCTTAAAATAATGTTAAAAAATTTAAACATTATATTGCTTAGAAGTTTGACAAGAATAACAATTTGTGGGAACTTGTAATTTTAAGTTTTAAATAAACTAAACAAAAATAAAGCTCGTCATATACTACTTCAATTAAATTAATTTTATATATTTTTAAAAGGCATATAAAATGTGCAATAACATGATCAAAATAAGAAATCATTTGGAGACCATAAGAGAATCACCCATATTAATATTCAAGATAATTGTGTTGGATCTTTTCATACTGATTTAACACATGTTTTTATTGTTCTTTATTAAAAATTCTTTTCACCCATAATTATAGCAAAACAAAAACAAAAGAATCGAAACTATTAAAATGTATTGAGTCAATTTTATAGGTTTACGTTTGAATGCTCATTTTGAATAATAACCATATGTTTACTATTAGGTATATATGTTGTACATACGTGACCGCAAATAAATGGAAGCATGAATCAGTGAAGCGTAAATAGCCTCAATAAAAAGTTGCATTCAGTGTCTGCATTGTATTTAATTGAGTTTCAGTTTTTTTTTTATCAATTGAATTCCGTGATAATTTGTTGTTCAGAACTACCAAAAAGAATACTTGATTTTTAAGAGTGCATTTCGCTTTTTACTGAGCCTTCATGTGCGTGTCTGGCCAGCGACTTCTGGCTTGCCTGCTCTTTTTTGGTTCATTTTCCCAAGAGGTGGGGATAAATTTATTACCATTTTGCAGTTATAATGTTTCAATATCTATATCTCCTTCGGGGCAAGGCGGTCGGAGGTCAGGCCTGTGAGCCCATTATCGCAATTTAAGCACGATTCAGGCAGATATATGTAGGTCTATCCTACGTTTAGCTGCTCCTTTGAAAGCCGGTTACGTGATGTATGATCCAAGCCAGGATGTATGCAAGCCCTTTGCTGGGTTCAACATCAAATGGTTAACTGGCATTGAATCCCAAACCACCTGGGGTCAATAATTGGAGCTGGCATAAACTAGGATTGCGGATCACGGGTTTCTGGAGCGGATGGAGGGTGCCTGGTTAGCCCAACTAATTGGCATGTGCCAAGTTTCTAATGAGTTGCAAAAACTTCCAGCTGCTGAGCTTGCAAAAACAGCTGCGTCAGCCAGAGTTAGGAATGCAAAAGGAATTAAATGACTTTTCGTTTTAATTCATTATAGGATTTAATGAAACTATTAAAACAAAATCTGTTTTCATAATAAAGGTAGGTTTTGTACATGGCTTAGAATTTTGGAATTAAGTTTTCTGAATAAATTACACCAATAATAGAGAATATAATCAAAAGGACTCCTAAAGAATAAAAGGTTTTAGTATATTAATTAAGTTTTAAGGATTTTTTGCGGATTTAATAAAACATTTCATAATATGCGAAGGTTTTGTATAAGACATATAACTTGTGTGATTATGTTTGCTGATTTAATAAAACTGTATAAGCTGATGTATAGATTGCTTGAACGGAATTCCTTTTATTTCCCAGCAATAAATCTGATACTAATAGAGAATAAAAGCTTTTAATGGGAAATGTATATTTTTAGTGGGTATTTCACGTTAAAGTTTTCAACCTTGCAAACACTCATAAAATGGATACCATTTCGCCATGCATTGCAAGCACCGCACAATATTTTTATGCTTCATCAGGCCGAATAAAGCCGGCAGCTTTTGGTTGGCCAAAAATGTGTGTGGGGACCGGATTTTCGGGGTCGGTATGGGAACTGATATACTTTATCAGTCAACACGCACACATGGGCCCACAGCAATGCAACTGCAACATGGCCAACACTCACTGGATGATTTTGTGGCAACGGATGCCATGCTGGCCGCATTTTCCCAATTTACACGCCCTATCACTGGCTATGAAATTTTCATTAATTTACCAAGGGAGTGGAAACATAATATAATGCATTATACAGAAAAAGAAAACCTCAGTTAGCGCGAGGGGTCAATGGCGATGGTCGAGAAAATGAAATTGCCATGTTTATTTAATTCCCGGCTTTGCATTAGCGATGCAAATTCGTCGCTTCGCGGGTAAACCAAACTTTTGGGGGCTGCAATTTATTCAAATAAATAATAAATACATGTACTATATATACACATCATTAGTTCCTCTCAAAACAGGGTTATAGCGCTGGTAGCTACTAGTCATTCACTATGCATATGTGGGTTATTTTTGCGTCGCGTCGAATTCAGCTGGCCATTTGGGGGGTTAATTAAGCTCGAGGGCCAGTCGCCTGGCCTCAACCTAGTCCTGGGATCGTCCTCCGTCCGGTTCCGTGGCATGTCCTCGCGTCCTTGTCGTGACTCAATCGCCGCCGCACACTTGAGCACGTTTGCCCAGGCGCGGCTTGAACGGCACCGATTTCTTGGCCATGCGCTGCACGAACTGCCCTCCGATGGACTCCTCCGGCACTCCCTCGCCGTCCAGGATCCGCCAGGAGTCAATGCTGCGGCCAAGGCGGGGCGTCCGCACGCGATAAGCGGGCTCGCCATTGCTCTGCACTGTTCAAATGGGGGAGGAATACGGGTAACATTGGTCATTGGAATTGTTTTTTTCTTAAATGGAGTTCTTAGATGAGGAATTTAGGAATTTTTGAATATTTTAAATATTAGTTCTTAAGCACGAGATACAAGGCACAGAAGTCTTTTTAGATTTTAAAACAATTTTTAAAGTTAAAAAATTACTATTTAAATACATTAAATATTTAAAAATTGTTAGCATTTTAAATTTCCTTAAAGTCCTCACAATTTTAATAAAACAAAATTGAATTGCCAGAGAAAATTCTGACGTTCTCATTAAGTTGAAAATGTTCTTAAAAAATAACGACATTTTTGAAGGAAAGATGCTTTATCTCGAATCAAGTTGAATGGCTGTATTTACATTGTGTAACTCAACAACTAAACTATTAGTCCAGTCAGTAATGTATACTTATCACAAGCTGTTAAATAAACTCATTTTAACTTTTCTTTTCTCACCATTTTGTTCTAACATTGAAAACGTTGATACCAAAATGTACTTGAGAACATTAGTTCTTAAAACCCGTTAGAACTAATGTTCTCAATTCAAGAACAATGCACTTAAATATTTCTCTCTGTTGGTGTTCAAAAATATCAAGACCACTTTAACACTATATTGTCTATCGCAATTTAAAATGCTTGAGCAAAACTAAAATGTAAATACTTTAATTATTTTTTCCCTTAAAAGAAATCAAAAATATCAATAACAATATCATTACACTTTGGTATGCAATTCGTATGCAAAGAAGCTTTGCTGTTGCTTACTTATAAGCATATAACCTGTTGTCTTGAGTCGTTTCAGATTTAAGAACTCCCACAATATTTGGCAATGTGTTGAATAATAATTCTGAATGTAGGAATGGAATGAAATATAAGAAACTCAAATGACATGCATATCAAATGCCACTCAGATTTCCATATCATTTTTTTCTGTCTGCAAAAACGGGGGAAAAGCTTATGGATAAAGTATGCGAAAGTGATGGAGATGGTGGCTGGAAATGTGAACGTGATTCGGGATCCAATTAGAACGGCTCCACCGGATGTTTAGCGCACATTTCAGCAGGCATCCATCTCCCCCTGCAGATGTTGCGCATACGCAGTGTGATCCCCTGGGGCAACTTACGCTGTCGCAGCTTCTGGAGGAGCAGGTAGTAGGTCAGTGGCGGCATGCTGTCCAAATCGAATTCCTGGCCCTGCGGCGGCACGGCGCCCACCGGCAATGTGGCACTCGCCTTCTGGGCCAGGCTATTCTCCTCCAGCTCGTCAATGATGTCAGTCAGCTCTTTGTACTCGCCCATGGCGCGTTTTTGGCGCCCTTCACTCAATGTGGGGGATGATGATGATCCTCTGGCAGCTCCTCCACTGATGTGATTTCCCAAATCCTGTTTGCTCGTGCCCTGCACAAATAAAGTGCCACAAAAGCAAAGCACAAAAAACATCACGGAAGAGGTATGAAAAAAGGGAGCTAAATATTTGAGATATTTCCTTGGAGGCAGGTTTTTTATTTTTTTTTCATTTGGTGGGTGGGTATCCTTACAGCCAAACTGTCGACACGTGTTAAGTTATTTTTATGCCGCCTATTTATGCTCATACTCGTACGTGAGCAGCACACCCGCACAGTGGTCTTGCCAACCTTATAGAGGGTGTAAGGATGGTTCGGATGTGTGTCCCGAATGTGCGAGTCAAGCACTTTATTGTTTCAATTTACAGCCAGGCTGAGCAGCGTGTTCCGCTTGATTAGACAACTCAATGTAGATTGAAATGCCAACACCTGAAATCGGCTTGTAAATCGCACTTCGCCCATAAACTCTCACTCTGAGCGGGTGTCTGTGGGGCGTATACTTGATATTAAACCTTCATTTGGCACAGCCTTTAAGATTACACAGAAAAAAATAAACAATAAAAATAAAATAAATAAATAAATAAATAAAATAAATAAAAATATATGTTTTAAGAGATATCGTGTTATTGGATTTGTGATTCTGTGTTACCTACTTATTAAAAACGATTTATTTATTTATTGTACTCTGTTGCCAAAAGTTTAAAACTTAAGGTACAGGGAGGAATCGGCCATAGTTGCTGAGACTTTATATATTGCTGATAACTTTTTAATAGCAAAATATATATGAATTCGTTTGAAAAGTATTGCAGACGCTCTTTTAGCCTCTTTGGAATAGCAAAGACTATATAGTTTTTCATTTAATAAAAAAGAAAGCTACCCTTATTGGAAATTAGTTTTTCTAAGTGCATGATTTAAAACGAAACACTTGGAGTAGCTTAACTGAAACCTAAACTTTGCAAAGCAATTTCGCCCAAAAGCAAGAATTCCACCACAAATTCCAAATGCAATGAACTGTGATAAGCCTGATATAATTTTGGCCTTTTGATTATTTAGGGCCTATTGGGTTTTCACCAAATTTCCACGGCATAACACCAATATGAAGTAATTTTAATTAGTGGTTCGAGTTAGTTGCGCAATGCGTATACGCACTGTAGCTGCCAGTGAATTTCAAATATTAATTGGATGCGAATCGATTGCCTGCTGGCGAAAGAAGAAAACCAGCAGCATCTGCGAACTAATTGGTATCATTTCAAATGCCGTCGACTGGAGGAAATGAGACTGCCACAAAATGCAGCGAACACACGGAGAGGAAAAAACTTTTCGCCCCGAAATTTCCGTTTTATAAAATCCAAGAACTTTACCAGTCGTTGGAAATTATCACGCTAAGCTGGCGAACTTGTGCCTGGGAAAATAGCACTAATTAAGTGGCGCTTGTTTGGACAACATGCCACCCCAATCCCCACCCAAACAGGATGCCAGGGACTCACCTGCAAGGACTTGGCCTGACTGCAAACGAGGATGTAGCAGGAAGCCGCGATTAGCAGCAGTGTGCAATAACTGGGACCACACATAACTACCGGGTGTTAGGGCGTTCCGGGTTGGGTATTCGGCACTCGGGGAGACAGGACACTCCGGAAGGACTCTGTATGGTCGCCATTGGTGGACCGCGTGGTGCTTTTGGATCGCTTTGGGGCACAACTGATGCCAGCAGCCCGGCGATCCGCAATTTTTATAGCCAAATCGCGAACGGCCCCCCGTGTGAGCTTGATTGGCTAGCTGATGGACGGGTGCTAAGTGATTTGTTATGCACTCTAATGCCGGGCAAAAGGCAGCCCGCTGGTCAGCTGGTAAACAAGCGATCAAGCAGCAAATCCCAAACGGAAGCGCCACCAATTTGTCGCACACCAAGTGCAAAACGGGACACAGTGACTGGGATTTGAATTGGAAAGCTAATTGTGCAGGCTGCAGTCAGAGAAAATATTACAAATACGTTATAAATACACTCTTTTTTTTGTCATCAATTTGACATTTCAAAAACATTTAACTCATATTTGCGGACCACCTTTCACATCAATATCCGGTGGAGATTTAAAATAACTAGTGCACACATTCGTCGATAAGCCTCTGAAATGTTTTTTATGGTGGTCAGCTTAATGAAAATATGAAATGCTTACTTTCTGAGAAGTGACATATCGTTCAACAGCCACAAGCTGCAGATTTATTAACCATGGTTAAGCTGTCAAAAGGCATGGCATGAATACATTTAAGTCTGCCGTTAATAATAGATAAACAAGTTAATACATCACTTTTAAAGCTTAAAATTGAAATACAGAAAAACGTGTTGGTTACATAAATTATTTTAAAATGAAGTTATTCTGATGTACCTGTTGAAATATTGTAACTCAACCTTTTAAGGTATACTTCTAAAATGAGGAGGACTTTACCTTTATCCTTATCCTTTAAAAAAGGTTTGTCTTTTTCCATATCTGTTTTTTTTTGTGGGCAGCATTGTTTGGAAAGAGACTGTTTAGTACAATTAAACATCCGCTAACAAAGGAGGCATGGGAAAGTGCAGAGAATCAAACAATCTGTCGAAACAAGAATGACATGAATAATTTTCAGTCTGGTTTGATTATACACACAAATTACACAAGCTTAACGTCATTTGATAAACAAACCTTAAGTAAATGTAATATTTATGCTAAGCACTAAGCTTTCCTAAAAGGTTTCTTACAGAGGATTTTAAAATTTCAATACCATGATACTTAATGTTCACACTAGGAAAGAGTGTAACAATATTCCTACAACTCTAAGTAAAGTTATAAATTTTTCAATAGAAGAAAGGCCTATGAAAATACCGAGAATAATCCTTTTTCGCTGTGCACCGGAGCATAGCCATGGGGCATCCTGTTTAATGGAAATCAAAGCGCGCGTAAAGTCCGTCACGCCCCAGAAGGCGATGGCATTAGGGCCAACGCCCACGAAGGGGCATTGTCAATGCCGTCGACGCTGCCAATCGATCAATCTTATTTAAATGTTGACAGTTGTCTTCGCAATGTATCCCGGCTTGGGCCTGTTTGCGGATGGGGAAAGGGTGTTTCGGCTCCTCAGCTCGGCTTATTTAAATGCCATTCGTGAGCCGCATTAGGTTCAATTTGTTGGGCAAACAGCTTGCACACCTGCCTGTCAGCAGGCATTTAAAATCAGATTGAGATTCAGATTCGGATTCAGAAGTCTCCGATTGTCGACTGCCAACTGGTAATGGGTCAGCAGGGCAGTCAAATCAAATTGCTCGTAAGCCCCGGAAGATATACTTGGTCGGGTTTCAATAACAGCAGGCAGCAAATCATCAGGATTTCAATTAACTAACTTGGGATGCTGTTCAGACATCAACCATCCATCAATCGAGTGTTTTTCTAGATGCCCTGGTCCAACTAGTCCGTGCATCTGTTGCAGCTGCCGGTCGAGTGTTTATTTGAGCCACTAATTTACACAAACATGACCCGGACACACACGACCCACTGACGAACCCGACCTGACGACCCCCAGCTGGCATTTATTTATTTAGTAACTCTGTGGGACGACCTCTTTTCCAGCCAGAAGAGCTCTGAAGGATTTATCTATTTGCCCAGTGCTGAAAATGTATCCTTGAAAAAAGAAAAAGAAACAACCATAAAGTTGCGAAAAATTTAATTTGACAAAAACCCAAACTGAGGGATTATCTTACACAGCAGTTTTCCCCCCTGCAATCTATCAACAGATTATGCGGAAAAACTAATTGGACCGCCAACTGCTAGTTGAATGTAAAGCTATCTCCTGATATGATATTTTATTTTCACCTGCCAATTTTTTCTACGAATAAAAAAAGGGAAAACAATTGTGGAATTAGAAAACAAATATTGGGATTGGGATTTACAGCAAATGGTTGAAATTCCCAGTAGATTACAAGGTTCTTTTTAATTAATTGGACAATGGAAAAAACATTCAATTACACAGAAAAATTGCCCTAACATGCAAAGTTTTATGTGAAAAAACAGTGGCAAAATATTATAAAAATTAAAATAAAGAGTTTTTTTTAAGTAAACCTAAATTAGAAGGAAGTTGAGAGGCCAGTGCGAAAAATCAAGGTTTCATCAACATTTATAATGTACCATTTTTTCTGTGGAACACAATTTATTTTGGCAGAATTAATTGGATGCTACATTTTTATTCTATTCATTAGAAATATCCATTAGCTGATGGTTTAAAAAGGAATTATATTGCATTAAATGTAGCCACAAAAAAATTAAAACACAATACATTTTGATACCTCATTTTCAGCTGTCCGTTTCAGTTCTTCGTTATCAATTTTGCCCAGCGGAAGCTGAAGTCAAAGGACATTCGAAAAGTAGCTTCAGTGTTTGCCTCTCGAATTTGCCAGCGGATCAATTATTTGCTCTTACTCGCTTTATCAGTTTGCTAATGCTCCGGAGGAGTTAAGTCCTCAAATGACGCGGCAGCTAATGCCCCTCGACGCCCACCTTATGTCCTTCCAGGATGGCGAAGGGATTTAATTGAATTAGTCGTGTCCTGTGCGCGCGGCGCTTTGAAGTTTGCACTTTGCCCCTCGCCCTCTCGACCTGGGTTCCAGGTCCTCTACTCGAGGATACGAAGAACAGGATCCTGGATTCAGGACCCCGGGCTCTGTTGACGTTTGCGCTTAGGCGGAACCCGAGTGCCGGAAGGGCAGCGGCTTTGTAAACTTTCCGCGATGGCAATAATTAAGCCAAATAGAGTGTGAGTGGACCAAAGGGCTTTTGCAGTCAAGCGACCAATAAATAATGGCTTGTGAAACGTATAAGCCACGGAAGATGGAGCGCAGTGATGTGGTTTTTAGCCAGCTTAAGGCCGAGCATTAAGACATTTAGTTGCCAATCTTGAAATTGATGATGACCCAATGGTCTGGGTAAACAAGTCGAATCGTCAGCTCAAGGACAATGCAAGGAGCTCCAATGCAATCAATTCGGCAAGGTTATCTGTAATATATATAAAATAAGAATGGGATGACTCGGCAAGCCGAAGGTTATGTACTCTTGCAGATAAACCATAACGCATTAAAAGCACACTTATGTTCAAGAACCGTATACTATGGTTCCTATGACAGCTATTTGATAGTGTTCCGATTTAAATATAATATACGAAATTCTGAAATTCCTCATTCGTTTTCGATCGTTCAGTCATATTGTATTGTGCGACTAATTCTAAAAACGGGAAAAATGCTTTATTCCAGAAAATGTATTCCATTATCTTAGATCCTGCCTTTGGAAAGATTAGCCTTATAATGAGGGAAAGAAATTATAATACCTCTGCAAGGGTATACAAAATCCATAAAAATATTGCAATCAAATCTATGAAGGATGAGGGCAGGCAGCAACTACTCCCTCCACACAAGTGGGATAAAAACTTGTAGCCAGCGATTTATGCGAGTGCCAAGGACGGATTTGGCTTCAATTCAATGTTGGACTAAAGTGTAAGCTCGTTTTTAGCTTTTCCGCAATGATGTGCTAGCTTTTTACGGCCAAATTGAGTCGCAAAAAGCTTGAAATAATATCAACTAACAGATTACCGCAGATTATGAAGAAGAGCCTTTTGTTTTACTTAAAACCAGCGCAAGGATTTTCACTCGAGTTTTCATTGTGCCGGGGCGTGAGCCACTATAAAAACTTTTTCCCACTAGCTGTGGAGATAATCTCCCTTAAATCTGTCTTTTAAAGCAAACACTTGTCTGTATGGAACATGCATATGTGTACAGTGAACACTCCCCACAAGTGTCAGCACTTGACAGCCCTTCGCTGTCGCTGGGGACATATAGAAATACAGATGCATGCCGGGCGTTCACACTGCGTATACGCAATATATTTCTGTTATTTTAATGTAGTGGAGGAATTTTGAAGTGGTGGATGTCCAACGGGTAACGCTTTTGTGTTCCTCCGGCAAATCAATAGGCAATGGGGTTTATGGACTCTGAATTTGTATATATGCATGTAGCACTATGTAGGGGTAAAAACCTCCCGGTGGCTACAGTTCGCATTCCCATTTTGCCAATTTCATGCAGTTTCACAGCCTCACACTCGTCGATTTTTTCATAAATATTTATTTATTCATTTGCAGTTCCCGTGTCGCCGACTGTTGCGCGCTTGAGTGCCGAATCGACTTTTTGCCATTGCCAACAGTTCGAGCATCGCAGAGATCCAAAGTTGAAGGAGGAGGAGCCTCGGTGGAGGACTGGGAAATGGAGTGGAGGAGCCCGGTTGGCAAATACTCGAAACTCGGCGGCGCAACTGAGGAGGCAACCAGGATGACGGCGAACTTCGGCAGCCTTGTTTGCATTGCAGATTGCAATTACGCGCGTTTTAAATTACGCCCAGCGAAGGCCGGGGAAAAGATAAACCACAGGTACACAGGTACACACGAAAAAGCATTGGGGAAGCAACTTGAATGAGTTGAGCTTCAATCAGGCTGCGAAATTGAAGAGATGTCAGGGGTTAACGTGGCTGACCTTCTGGCCACGACAATGACATTGCCCATAACAGCCGCATCAACAGCAGCAGCAACATTCGTTGCAGTGAGTGCCACAACAGCAGCTTCAACGAACAGCAGCAGCAGCAGCAACAGCAGCCACCTGCAACCTGCAACATTAACTAGCCACATTTCCACAGCAGCAGCAACAACGCCGACCATTCTGCCTATAACATCGCAATTTGTGGATGCCTCGTTGACTTCGCTATCACTGACAGCCACCTCGTCGTCCTTCTTGTCCTCGGAGTCCCCCTTTGAGTTCCTCGCCACAGTGGGGCCCAATCTGACGGGCTCCAATGGCAGTGAGATTGTCGCGGAGCACCCCGAGGAGCTGGAGGAGAGTTGGATGGATCTGTCGATTCTGCTGCTCAAAGGATTCATCTTCTCGTCAATTATCCTGGCCGCCGTGCTGGGCAATGCGTTGGTCATCATCTCAGTGCAGCGCAATCGAAAGCTGCGGTAAGTCTTTATGTGCAATTATTTTCGGTTCCCAGCTCCGAGCCTCCGATCCGTTTAATTGCCGGTTATTTTGCCACAAGGGCTGGCCGACAATGCAAATGGGCAAACCCAGTGGGTCGCAGGTTGAATGGCAATCCCTTTGCCGGCGTAATAAATGTAATTTAAATGAGCGACAAGTGGAATAATAAAGCACAAAACGAAGTTAAATGCGACACACAAGCCCATCGCTGCCATGACAGCGTCGCAATGACAGGACGCCCTAGAGTGCACTGCAAATAAGTGTAGCATACAATTGAGCGCAGGGCTCGAACCGTGCCACCCCCACCCCCAACCCCTTTCGCAAGCTGCCACGCCCTCTCGCCCCGCCCACGGCACCGAGTTTAATGTTGCGCAACGTTTAAGCCCTCTGCAACGAGGGTATATACTGATTAAAGTCTTTATTATCCCCGTAAAGCAGCTTAAAGTGCTGCGATTATCGTTTACCACCTTATTATATAGAACGTAACCGGTTCGCAATATAGCATCGCGTTAAGATATAACAATACCAGGCAGTACTTAAAGAAAATAAGGGTGGACAGGAAGAGCGGTTATTGATTGGAAGTATCCTTTCTATAGGCACAGTTCAACAATTGGTTTCCGTACCTGTTTAACATTTCTTACAATTTCATAACATTCTTAAATGATCCGAGATCCTAGTACTAAGTATATGAGTTTATATGTAGATTGTCCGATGGAATGAAACTTGAATTGGTAATTCACAAACTGCATTTTAAATACGTTGAAATTGCAAATTAATATGATATACCAATGTTTAACTATAGACATGGTAATTAATAACATTTTACTTAGTATCCTCAAGTCAATATGGTAACTTCTGTAATGGTATGTAGTTAAATATGTCAGGATCAAGTTAGAAATGGAGGTTATACCTCAAAATAATACTTAAAATGTAATAGGTAAAGCCAATTTAGAATTAGGAATCTTTTTAAAATGTTACTATACCAAATGTTTAATAATATCCCCAAAATAATGAAAGGTTAATTCCACATTACCCCTATACCATTCGCATAAGCCCCCTTATAAGTGCAACACTTGCCCCGAAGACAAGATAATAACTTTGCATGGCAGTGGCTCCCAGCTGAAGGTGGCAGCTGCCTAGTGAGTCGGATGACTTATGACAGCCAAGGAAATTGCTGCATACCGGTGACCTGACCTGCTATCAAGTGCGGAAATGGAAATGGAAAGCAGTGCAGTGTTTGGCCAGCGGAACGGAAGGAAGGGGAAGGGAGCCAACTCCCAAAGCCAATGTCAAAACCAAAGAGCCCAGTCCCCCGGACTCGGCCACATATGATGCATGCCATATGCCTTTTGGTTTGGCGTGGCTGCCCCATGACGAGTGGTCAGAAGTGCGGATGTCCGTGGGAAAATCCCTAATTCTTGGGCTTTGTTTCGTTCGCAGGGTGATAACCAATTACTTTGTTGTGTCGCTGGCGATGGCCGACATGCTGGTGGCCCTCTGTGCGATGACATTCAACGCCTCCGTGGAACTGTCCGGTGGAAAGTGGATGTTCGGACCGTTCATGTGCAATGTGTACAACAGCCTGGATGTTTACTTTTCCACGGCCAGCATACTGCACCTGTGCTGCATATCGGTGGACAGGTGAGTGCCCAATTATGTCACCACGTCTATATTAAACGGTTTAAAGTCAATTGTGGGTGGCCGACTGAGCCGTTTAAATCGACCAAAAGCCATTAATCTTGCCCAGATGCCCGGGCCCGTCCAAATCACTTTCATTGCCAAGAAGAAACAATTAATTACTGTGAAAGGCGCGCACATCAAAAGCAAACATTAGGCCCCGCCCGTATGATGAATGCGGCCCAAATGATTTGCAGCTGGCCGAAATATTCCACCCAATATCCCCGCCAAGCCGTTAATTGGGCGCCATTCCCACTTGGGAAGCTCCGACAGCTGCGATTTTCGGGCTGACCAACAACAATGTGAAGGGAGCATGGGGATTGGAGTACGGAGGATTGAGGATGAGGATTGAGGATGGTCAATGGGCATTGGCACGGGCCTTTTGTCTGTTTTAATTAATTTGTGTTTCGCTCACCTTTCGGTGGGCCACAAAACATACCGAAAACAAAGGAAAACACAGCCAGACCAATCGGAATTAGAAAATTAATGATGGCCCCTGAAGGGAATATGGCTAAACTAATAAATCTGTCATATTTGCAAAAAGCTTCTAATCATCTTAATCTATCTTTGTCTTAAATAATTAAATACTCGTTTGGCAAAATTATAACATTCAAACAACATGATTCAAATCAGAGCAAAAGTTATACATCTTAGACTGCACTGATATAAGATGTGAAATGATAAATTAATGGAATATTAAATAGTAAGAATCCAAAATTGTTTAATAATATTTTACACAAAAATAATAAATTTTGTATTAAAAATAAAGTTTAAAATCCTCAAATTAACTATAATTGCTCAGTTACATATTTCCATAAATAATATTTGGTTAAACCACAACAAAACAAAGTCAAAGCGTATTTATTTGTTTTCTTCGTCTTTTTTAACAGTGCAGATAAATTAGCTTTCTTACTATCGTAATTTCAGTTTAAGCTTCATCTGATAAGCTAATAATTAATACTCTTAATAATTGTACTAAATTACTTCAATCTGCTAAAAGCATTAATCCGTAGATTAAATGCATCAACCTTTTGATAGTTAAATAAAATCGATTCCTTTGCATGTCAACCTGAGTACCGAAACACAATTATCCAGCCAACTGAAGAGCGATAATCAATTATTGTGCTAAAAGGCACTGGGGGAGGGTCTGAAAGCCACCTGGCACTTTTGTGGGGGTACCCTGTCCGCAATTCATTTCCATTAATAAAGATGCCCCCTCTTCTCTGCCAACCCCGGCTATTTAACAGATACTACGCCATCGTGCGTCCGCTGGAGTATCCATTGAATATGACACACAAAACGGTCTGCTTCATGCTCGCCAACGTATGGATCCTGCCCGCCCTCATATCCTTCACGCCCATCTTCCTGGGCTGGTACACCACGGAGGAGCACCTGCGGGAGGTGTCCCTGCACCCCGACCAGTGCTCGTTTGTGGTCAACAAGGCCTACGCCCTCATCTCCAGCTCGGTGAGCTTCTGGATACCCGGCATCGTGATGCTGGTGATGTACTGGCGCATCTTTAAGTGAGTTGCTGGAACCCAATGGTCGTGGTTGATGGGTTGCTAAATTGCCGGGTCTGTGGTTTTTCCAGGGAGGCGATACGGCAGCGCAAAGCCCTCAGTCGCACCAGCTCCAACATCCTGCTGAACAGCGTCCACATGGGCCACACCCAGCAGCCCACCAACCTGAGCTATCTGCATCCCAGCGACTGCGATCTCAACGCGACTTCCGCCCGCGAGGAGACGCACAGTGCCCTGAGCAACTTGGAGGTGAGTTGGGGTCTATCTAGGGGAATAAGTGATGTCAGTGGGAAAGGGCAAATGGGTGATCCCAAATCTGCTTTAAATAGGACAGACAATTTAATTACTAGAGCTCGAATTCGTCTCTCATGCATATTCCTCTTCCTAACATTCGATTCCAAGTGAACTGTGGTTAAATACAATTACTTTCATAAAGACATTACTAGTCTAAGCGTAAAAATTAATTTTAAGTTTATGAAAATGTTTACATACATTTTTTATACATTTTTATGAAAAATTTATGAAATCAACTTAAAATGTATTTGATTTATTGCTTTATTTTGCTGGGGCTCCGAGTTCTATTATTTGATAACCGAAAGAATATGATTTACCACATTAAATAGGTTTTAAAAAAGGAAATACAAATATTTAAAAAGAATAAATTTAAATTTTTAAAAAGATTTGCTATTTTGATTGGATAAAATTAAAATGAATTATTTACTTTAAATAAAATAATAAATAAAGCAAACTAAAAAGCACTACAATTTAAGAACAAACAATATAGGAACTTAAAACCCACTGCAATCTAGGATCAAAGCCTTTTTCCATTCCCGCTAGAATAATGTGGAGCGATTAGATTGGATGCTGGAGGGGAGCACTTCACTCCACTCCACTCCGCTCGAGAGTGTTTCCTTTGTGGCCCTGCGTAATTGATGCGCCAACATGACTCCCTGTCGTGTGTATGTATATTTCTTGTGCTTTGCCCACAGGACATGCTGCAGCCGGCCACCGACGAGGACGACGACAGGGACGAGTGCGATGAACTGCGAGTGCCGTCGCCACCGCCACGCCGCCTCAGCCGCAGCAGCATCGACCTGCGGGACCTGGAGCAGGAGCGGTACGAGAAGGTCACCCACACGGACAGCGCCCCCTCCATGATGGCCCTGCAGCAGCAGCAGCCCACCCACAACCAGTTGCAGCCACCGGCGCCAGTGTTCAACCCGCAGATATGGACGGAGGGCAAGATGATGCCCTCGAAGGAGCTGGAGAAGGAGTATCCCGGTCATCCCACGGCGCCGCAGCAGCAGCTCAGCCTCACGAGCGGCAGTGGGAACAGCGAACCGGAGCCGGAGTCCACGGCCTACCGGGTCTTTGGCCTTAACAGCGACGAGAGCGAGTGCAACGACCTGTACGTGGATAGCCACCTCCCGCTGGCCGAGGACAACAAGGAGCTGAAGCGCCTGATCGAGGACAACTATCTGTACTTCAAGCGGCAGACGGGCGGCACCATCATCAGTGGTCCTGGGGGCGGGAAGTACGCCGCCCTCAGCGAAACGGACTTCATTCGGCTGAAAGCAGGAGCAGCGGCCTGCGGAAGGAAGGCCATCGCCTCCAGCGATTCGGAGTTCCTGCGGACCATCAGCGAATCCCGGGCCCTGCCGGAGCAACCGCTGCCCAGTGGCAAGGATAAGGGCTTCAACATCCTCTCCCTGCTATCCAAGACGAAGCGCTCGAGCACCGAGTGCTTTGCGCTGGAGAAGAAGCGCCAGCAGGGCAACACGGGCTCCGAGGGATCCAGCTTCTTTCGGCGCTCCCGGAACCGGAAGTTGTCGCACAGCTACAACGGATGCGGCGGCGGCAAGGAACGCAAACTTGAGCGACGCCAGCGGCAGCACAGCGACACGGACTCCACGCCCAACAAGCCGGACATCCTGCTGGACATCAATGTCCTGAGCGAGCAGTCAGGCGCCAGTGTGATCCAACAGTTCAGCGATGGAGTGCAGCTGATCGACTTCAGCGAGGTGAAGACTCCGCCGGAGAGGAGGCGCAGCGATGATGAGCTGGCCCAGCTGGCCGATTGCTTTGGGGAGTCGCCCCAGCAGCCGGCCACGCCGCCGCCATCGTTGTCTCCTCCAGAGTTGCCGGAACCGAGTGGCCTGCTCATCGCCAGCAGCTCGGAGCTGGCCGAGATCTTTCGATCCCTGAGCTTTCCGCTGGGCCGACCAGCTGGAGCTCCCCAGCGTTTGAGCACGCTGAGCGACCAGGTGTGCGCTAACTATCTGATGTCCCCACCGAACACACCGGCTCCCACGGCCCTGTCCATGCCCAGTGGAGCTCCGATGGACTCCTCTTCCTCGGCCAACGCGCAGTCGGCGTCCATCAATGTGTACTTCCTGTCGCCGCCGCCGCATGCCGCCGGACCTGGTTATACGCCCAGTGACGCCTCCACCGTGTCCCTGGATGTGGTGACCAGCCTGCCCATGCCCGTGCCAGTGCCCCAGCCAAATCCCCAAATGCCCTCGCAGCCGAGCATATCGCCCAAGCCGGAGATCATCCTGGACTCCACGCTGTCGCCCGTCGAAGGTTGTGGCGATGAGCACCGGGATGTCACGTCGCCGCTGTTTAAGCGCAAAGATAGCGCGGGCGAGGCGGACGTGAGTGTTTCCGGCGGACTTGGAGTGGGTGGTGGCGGGGGAGGAGGCAATGGACGCCAAGGACGCTGCAGCATCCTGGCCGGCTACGATGGCATCCAGACCGTGCGCAAGCGACAGGCGTCCGTGGTGACCTACGACGTGAATGTCATCAACTTCTCGCAGGAGAACAGCGACAGTCGCAGCTACATCCCCATGGGCCGCGTTTCCACCAGTTCAGCAAGTGAGTAGTCCGGCTATTGTGTAGATTGTTGCAGCTCGTGCCTGGATTAAGTAGCTCGTTAAAGACGATTTATGTCCGTATCCTCGAAATTCGCTCTGTTTTTGTCAGTTTGCTACGAGAAGTTCAAGTGATTCAAGTCGTTTCCTGAAAGTATGTCTTCTGATAACGAGGTGTACACAAGTGCTTGAGTTAATTTGTCTTTTGACGTTCTCAAGCAACTATAATATCTTAAATTTGCATCACACAAAGAGACTTTATACGTTTTGATAAGCCCTAAAACATAAATTACAAAAGCCCATAAAAATTATGACTTGTAACTAAATCCAAAATAGTATTATTTAAATTTAATCAAACAGTGAATTACATATTAATAACTACAAAAATGTCTAAAATATGCAACAATATATCAGGTATACAATCTCAGAATTCATTCTGCAGACTATTATTTATTTACTACATACTTTTAGGCACCTCAAATTAAATTTTAAAGAGATTTGAAAACCCCAAGGTTTGTATGACACCCCCATAATGATTCTATATATTTTTAACACAAAAAAAAAAATATATTTTCCTTATAAAACATTTTACATTATTTAAAGAAAAGCAATCGCTTTTTCCAAATCTATTCTTACAAATAAAAAAAAATCGATTTTTGGCTGTATAACGTTTAGTTTTAAATAAATTTTAAAAACAGTTCCTTACCAAAAACAGTGCGAATTTCCGAACTACAGACAATACCTAACTATATAACCTATAAACCTTCGTTGAGAAGTTTAAATATACTGCTTCAAAATATAATGAAACCTTAGTTGATAGCTTAAAATAGAATAGTGCCAGCTTCTAGATAGTTGCACCTGCAAACGAAGACAGAAAGGGACCACCTACTTCCAGAGCTAGAAACCCAGGATAGAGTCCTGAACCCCCTCCTTATCGATCCCGATCCTTTGCGTTTGCCGGTGCATGGCACGCACGTGCATGAGATCTGATCTGAGGAAGAGCATCTGAAGAGTGTGCCCGAAACTAGTGTCCTGTTGTGTCCTGTGATGAAACCTATTGTACATTGTCTACTACTCGTCTCTATCTGTCTCTCTTTATCTCTCTATCTATATCTCTTTCCATGCCATTTCGTTGTGTGTTGTATGTGTATATATGTAAAATCAAATCACCAAATTATGTCCAACCAAAAACAAACTTCTACTCCAAAAACCAACTCCAACCAAAAACAAAATTGAAACCCGAAAATGCGGTGGCCAAATTAAAAAAAATACCAACCAACTGCAAGCAGAGCACGAATTTTCCAATAAATCCTCGCTGATCCGACGCGGCGGCATCTGCATCTTTGTGGATGAGGAGGAGGCCGAGATCATTGAGCAGCGGCCCAGGGGCATCACCTTCGCCGCGGTGCCCAGTCCGCTGCCCAAGTGTCCGCTCTGCGGCGCCGACATCAGCAGCACCACCACCGCAACTGCAAACGCCGGCACCACAATCGACACCACTGAAACCACCAATGCAAGTGCAAGTCAAGTGCAAGTGCAAATGCAAATGCAAGTGCTAGTAGTAAACGTAGTATTCACGAGCCAACTCCAGATCTTGGCCAGGGGCCCAGGTCCACGTCCAGGTCCAGGTCGAGCTCCAGTTCCACTCGCTTCTGGCACAAACGAACGGCGGCGGTCACAGCATGTTGGCAGCAGAGCAAGAACCGGAAGCGCCGCTTCAAGACCGGATGCAGTCACTGTGGTGCAACCGGTGAGTCTTGTCGTATCCCCTCCTCTCCTCTCCTCCTTTCTCTCTCTTTCTCTCTCTCTGTCTTTTTGCTTGTCTCAGCTTCAGCACTTGTCTCATCCCCTCACGATTCTGCCTCTGTCAATGTCAATCATTCCATTTCCCAGAACCCAGATGTCAAAGTGACACCTCATAGCTTAACCCATTTCATACTTCGAAACTCTATTCCTGGATCACCTTTAAGTAATCGTATTTTTCAAGACTTCTAATTTGACATCCATTAACTACGGTTTTTACATCTATACATAATACATCATTCCATAATCAAAGATATATCACACACTTTAAGTTTCTATGTATCGATTTTTGGAACCCTGGGCAGATACATATTTCTTTTAATCGTACCAGGAAAAGTAACACTTAATTATACATTTACTTAGAATGTTCAAGATATTACAAGTATGATTCTTGAATTCATAGAAACGGAGATAAAAGTTATATGTGGTTAAAGATCAGAAATGTTTTGCTATGAGTTTTTGGAAGAGATTTGAGAGCATGTTAAGAAGAACGACTTTAATCTACATTTATTGGAATATTTGACATATTACGAATACTAATTTTAAATTTATAGAGATAGAGATATAGGTTTATAAAGTTTAAAGTTAGAAATGCTTTGCAAATATAATTATATTATAATTATATATAATTAAAAGACACTTAAAGCTAAACAAAAAATTTAAAACAAAGAACCCATTTTATATCCTTAAACTCAGAATTACTTTAATCCCCGTCTTCTGACTGGTGGTTAGCAAGACTCAGTGTAAATACCATTATATGTATCGATTGCAAAGTGAAACAGAAGAGGAACCCTAATTTTGGAAACCCTAGGCCCAAAATCCAGCTTGACTGACAAATCCCCACGAAAATGCCAGTTTTTGGCACCTTCTTATCTGGAAACCCTGCTAACCAGCTTAGGCAACTAAATCCGGAGGGTCATATCATCCAGGCCTCACGCGATCCCCACCTCCACTCCACTCGCTGCTCTCATGCTGTACATAATTGCTTCCGTTTGCACGTGCGTTTGCTTTGCTTTATTGCGCCCCCTCACCGCCTTTCGTTTTGCATTATGATTTCACCTGGTTCTGGCCACCTCCGAGTGGCATCCATCAGGGGATGGGGCTGGTGGCCAACTGGTTGGGGGAGTCGTCCGCCGCTTCCTGTTGCTCACTGTTGTCTGTCTGATTTGTGTTGTTCTTCCTGCCCCCGCCGCACTCCCACTTTCCAGAGATGTTTATGTTTATGTTTGGCTGGACGGATGCGGGGGATTGTATGTCTTTGTGATAACAAGTGTCCTGTGCAAATATTTTCAATTGTTTGCCTCGTTTTTATTACTTTTCCCGCACACGCACATGCCAGAGCACCAAGACACAACACATGTTGGCCTTTCCAGCAGTTTAATGACACTTTTTGCAACGGGGCGCAGCTGGGGGCGGGGCGAATGCCATCGATACTTAACAACGTACAACAGCTAAAGAATTACTAATGTCGAAGTTAAACATGCCAGGATACGACCCGTCACACTCACACATGGCGTATACGCAACATGCCGACATCTCCTTTCTGCAACAATAAAAATGTGCACTCAGAAAAAAACCCTGTGCAATATTTACTGGTTTTTGGAAGGTAACTGCAGTTTGGGTTTAAAAATTTTAAAGTAATGATCAAGACGAGTTTAACTCTTTTTGGGTTCCTTTAGCTTAGCTTGAGTTTGGATGTTTTAGAGCTATAAAATTTATATTGACAACGTTTTTAGGATTATAAGAGTTATGGACGTAAGAAAAATTAAGTATAAAACCCAATATACTATCGTAGTATGCTTCAATGAGAGTATGCTAAGGAGATATAAACCAAGTTTACACCAAACCAATATACAAAGGGAGTTCAACTCATTTTGTGGAGAACTTTCAGATTTGCATTTTCCAAACTGCGGTTACCTTTTCGGGTTGCATTGTGGATTACATTGTTTTATCTTACTTTTTATGGTTTCATCTTATGGTTTATTTTGTCAAATATTTCATTTCACCGACACAACAATGCAAATGAAATAAAATTATTAGTATTAGGTTAGATGATCTCGTGTTATCTTACCGGAAGCTTTAATGAGATTTCTAAAGACAAATGGTATCTACTACATGTACAAGTTAAAAGGAAGACTTTAACTCACTTACCAGGATCAACAAACCATATCAACACAAAGCACCAAAAATAAAATAAATTATTTAAGGTGTAACCTTACACTTACACTGTAAAGGCACATAAAATATTAAGTTTACTCAACCATTTTCAACTCTCTAAAAATAAGCTTATTTTTTTCCGAGTGTACGCACACGCACACATAGAACTAAACCAGAAAACTGTCAATTGCAATGGCTTAACAAGAACTTGACTCTGGTCAAAGTCCCAAAGAATGGGTTGCACCAAGTCGATTCGAACCGAACCGAAAGCGAATCGATTCGAATCGAATTGAACTTAATCAGCCAATTGCCCTCCTTCATTTTGGTTCTAAACTCCTCATCTGCCCCCACAGGCGGCTCCGTGCGACCGGCCAAAGGATGGAAGGCCGAACACAAGGCCGCCCGCACCCTGGGCATCATCATGGGCGTCTTTCTGCTCTGCTGGCTGCCCTTCTTTCTGTGGTGAGTGGTAGGCCGTAATCCGTAATCCGTAATCGGTCGTCTTCTGGTGGCTCATCCTCATGTGACTCACTCACTCACTCTTCTGTCCCTTCAGGTATGTCATCACATCGCTCTGCGGTCCGGCCTGCCCTGTCCCGATGTTCTGGTCGTGGTGTTATTCTGGATCGGTTACTTCAACTCGACGCTGAATCCGCTTATATATGCCTACTTTAATCGCGATTTCCGCGAGGCATTCCGCAAACGCTGGAGTGTGTGCTGCCCTGTCTGGAGAAACGAAATCCCTACAACGCCTACTACGTCTAGACCGGATAGCGTCTGCATTCCAACATTCCAACATCCCGACAACCAAACATCCCAACACCCCTGCGATATGGAACAATGCCCCTATAAGTGATATTTAATACTTGAGTGAATCGTTATACCAAAGGAAGAAAAACAAAGCAAAGGAAAACAAGGCCAACGGCAATACCAGAAGGATTCTAGCTGGCAAAATCCTTGGAGCTAAGCAATACTCAATGTGTGTTTATGTATACGTGTACAATTTCGTTTAAGCAACGATAGGGAATTTAAATTAAAGTTGTGTTCTGAGCCCGCCAAGCAGCGGTTGCTGGGTCTCTGCTGCCCCGGAACCATACTATCCATATATAAGTGTTGTTTGTCCAACTAAACAGGAGATATACGTAAATGATATACATATGAAAGAATAAAACCAATTAGAAAGCGCGCGACTTTATGCATAGAGAAATTCCAATTTCAAATGAAATGTTGTCAAATGAGTTGTAAGAAACATGTAAGGTCACTTCGGCTTGTCGGAGATAAGACACTTTTTCCATAGATTATACGATATTAATTTGTGATACATTTTTCTGAGCAGTTATAACTGCCTTAGTTCTTGGTTCTCAAGATTACAGACCACATTTTAAGATACACAGATATTAATTTATGTTGTAAATCATAATAACAAAAGAAATATTTGGCATAACTCTTCATCAGCAAGTTTATTTAGTACAAATTTAAAGTCATATTATTTCAGAAATCTTATCAAAGAACCAGAAATCATGGAAAAAGTGCAATGCCATAATCTTACCTATAGCTTTAAGTATCATATGTAACCTAGAAAACTAGCAAACCAAATCTACATAATCGAGTTAAATGAAATTGATAATTATAAATTACGCAATCGAAATTATGTAAAGAAAAAATAGAGAATGAAAGGGAATTGTCTAGGTGACGTTAGGAATTTTCAAGCAGAAAGACAATCTACCAATGAGTAAACAAGAATGAACTTTGAGCAACCAAAATTGGCAAGCTGTAGGAAATCTCGCTGTTCGCTGTAAAATCGATTCACTTATTTCAATTTAGTTAGTTGGATCCCCCTCTCTCCTGAGTTGCGACGACTTTTGTGATAGTAAAGGAAATTGATTGTATTTCTAGTTGAATTGGTTTGCGTTGAGCAAGTAATGCATCCCGTCTAAGAATCTTAGAATCTGTACGATGTATGTGCGTGTGTCTAGGTATGTAAGGCCATGTATCGCTATGTATTTAAATGTACTTGCTGAACTAAACTATTGCAAATTAAAGTGTGAAAATAACGTGTTTTAAAAGCTGTTTAAAATCTATGTCAATAAATGGTCACATCAGGAAAATCTACACCTGGGTTCAAAATAGATATTGTAATTATAACAGGTAAATAAAGCTACGGTAGTTAAATGTTAATGTAGTTAAAGGGACGAAGGAAAACAGCAGCGACTTAAGAAATCTATGTTGTTCTAGTTCTAGTCGGTTCTTATTGTAATACAGATTTTTATTATTATTTTATTTTAACTCAAAATCAAATTTCAAGCTTGATTCATAAGGCATCATCTGTTAATGAAAAGTTGTTTCAGAAAACAATTCAATTAAACTAGCAAAAACCAGGAATGTATTATAAATACACTGTGCATTTTTTTGTAGTGTAACCGCTTTCTATATCTTAAAATCTGAAAACACTAATTGAAAGTAGTTAAACTCCATTGAAGTTTCTTTAACTTAGCATGCACTTGGTTGTTATTGTTAAAATTGGCAATACCTTAAGAGCCGATTAAGATTTTATTTTCATGTGTTGAGATTTATTATAGGTATGACATATGAACTCAAAATACGAGACAATTTTATGAACAAAGTAATGGTATTATGAGCCAGCTTTAAGATGACATTCGTGCCACATTGTATTCGTAGTATGTTAATATCAAATGATTGGTTTCTGTTACATTTTAGAGTCCACAAATACCTGAAATTAAGCTTTACCCCAAAACTTTAAATCGGTGATATACCGTTAAAATGTCCTGGAAATGAAAGTATCGAAAAATGTTGCAGTGATGCAACGCCATTTGGATTCCTCTGGAATCCCAAATAGGCGTTGCATCATTGCAACATTTCCAGGACATTTTAAAGATATAGTTACCTTTCTATGTGTCTGGGAGACACAATTAAAAATTTGAAATCTTTGTTTTACATAAAAAATCATTTTTTTTAATACTAAATAAATAATTTTTTATCATTCTTCTAATTAAGCGTATAACCATTTTTGCTTACTAAGGTCTATAATACTTTAGTTTTACTATTATTCGAGAATGGCAATCAAACAATTCTTATCACTTTTATGGACTTAAATTAGGAATGAATTGATATGTCTCTTTGGCTTAGTCGACCTCCTCGACCGTGGGTCCCGAGTAGCCGCCGAAGCCTCCGGCCTGCTGGCCACAGTTGGCTCCTGGGCCACCGGCTGCTCCCGCTCCCGCCGCCTGCTGATGCATCTTGGTCATGATGGGCGAGCAGTGGCGGGTGAGCTCCTCCAGCTTGTGGTCGAACTCCTCCTTCTCGGCGGTGGTGTTGCCGTCCAGCCACCGAATAGTGTCGTTGCACTTATCCAGGACGGAGGTCTTGTCCGCCTCGTCCAGTTTGCCAGCGGGAGCCTGTTCCACAGACTGCTTCACGTTGAAGACGTAGCTCTCCAGGGCATTTCGAGAGGTGATGCGCTGGCGCTGCTTCTCGTCCTCGTCGGCATACTTCTCGGCCTCGTTCACCATGCGGTCAATCTCGGCCTGAGAGAGGCGTCCCTTGTCGTTCTTGATCGTGATGTTCTTGGCCTTGCCCGTGCTCATCTCCTTGGCGGTGACGTTCAGGATTCCGTTGGCGTCCATGTCGAAGGTGACCTCTATCTGGGGTACACCCCTTGGCGCAGGAGGAATTCCGGACAGGTCGAAGGTGCCCAGTGCGTTGTTGTCCTTGGTCATCGCACGTTCGCCCTCATACACCTGGATGGAGACTCCGGGTGGTTGTCCGAGTACGTGGAGAACGTCTTGGTCTGCTTGCACGGGATGCGGCAGTTGCGCTCGATCAGCTTGGTCATCACCCCGCCAGCGGTCTCAATTCCGAGTGAAAGAGGGGCCACGTCCACCAGCAGCACGTCCTGGATTTTGCCGCTCTGGTCTCCGCTGAGGATTGCGGCCTGGACCGCCGCTCCGTAGGCCACCGCCTCGTCCGGGTTAATGGAGAGGTTGAGGCTCTTGCCGTTGAAGAACTGCTGAAGCAGGCTCTGCACCTTGGGAATGCGGGTGGATCCGCCAACAAGCACGATGTCGTGGATCTGGCCCTTGTCCATCCTGGCGTCCGTAAGGGCCTTCTCCACGGGCTGCAGGGTGTTGCGGAAGAGGTCCGCGCACAGCTCCTCGAACCTGGCGCGGCTCACCTTGGTGTAGAAGTCGTGACCCTCGAACAGTGCGTCGATCTCGATGGTTGCCTCGGTGCTGGAAGAGAGCGTGCGCTTGGCCCGCTCCGCCGCCGTCCTGAGGCGTCGCAGGGCGCGAGGGTTAGAGCGCAGGTCCTTCTTGTACTTGCGCTTAAACTCATCCGCCAGGTGGGTGACCAGCCGGTTGTCAAAGTCCTCGCCGCCCAGATGGGTATCTCCGGCGGTGGAGCGCACCTCGAACAGCGATCCCTCGTCGATGGTCAGGATGGAGACGTCGAAGGTGCCACCACCCAGGTCAAAGATAAGTACGTTGCGCTCTCCCTTGAGGTTCTTGTCCAGCCGTAGGCCAGAGCCGCCGCCGTGGGCTCATTGATGATGCGGAGTACATTCAGGCCGGCAATGTGACCGCATCCTTGGTGGCCTGGCGCTGGGAGTCGTTGAAGTAGGCGGGCACCGTGATGACCGCGTCTGTGACGCTCTCGCCCAGATAGCCTCCGCCGTCTCCTTCATCTTGGCCAGCACCATCGAGCTGATCTCCTCGGGGCAAACCGTTGGCCTCGCCCTTGAACTCCACGCCGATCTTGGGCTTTCCACCGTCGCTGACCACCTTGAAGGGCCAGTGCTTTATGTCCTCCCGATCTTGGGGTCATCATACTTGCGTCCGATGAGGCGCTTGGCGTCGAAGACCGTGTTCCTGGGGTTCATGGCCACCTGGTTCTTGGCGGCATCGCCGATGAGGCGCTCAGAGTCTGTGAAGGCCACGTAGGACGGGGTGGTGCGGTTGCCCTGGTCGTTGGCGATGATCTCCACCTTGCCATGTTGGTAGACACCCACGCAGGAGTACGTGGTGCCCAGATCGATTCCAATAGCTGGCATCTTGTGTGTTTGTGTTTGTGGATGCAGTTGCTCCTTACTTGGTAATGGATAGTTGTGAGTTGTGAGTTCTCAGCTTCCTTCTTGTCTTCAGTAATAGCTTCTTGATTGTAAGGTTGGTAGTTACTTTACTAGTTTACTACTTGCACTTTGTTTCAGATTGTTTAGCTTGTTCAGCTGCGCGTTTGTTTTGCTTAGCTTTTGCTTAGCGATGTTTTCAGTTTGCTTGTTTGAATTGATATGAGGCTAAGAGAACCGCGCGGCCCTATTTATACTCAGGCGCTCTCTTCGCGAACATTCGAGACCGGCTCTCTCGAAACGCCGAGAACTGTGTGCCGTTGCTAGTGCGCCAGAGCGAGATAGCAGATAGAGAGTGCCGGAAAATTAAGAGAGGGTGGAATAAAATTTCTCGAATTTTCCTTGCCCAAACGAACAAACCTACCGCAACAAAAGGTTTCTGTTTGGGTTTCTGGAAAATTCGCAATTTTTTTTGTTTAAATCAGAGATAGCTTACCATTATTATTACGAATTAAGCAAAGCAAGTAGCTTAATTGTAAATACTCCACTGTGTTTGAACATTTGCTTACAAAATTGGAACCTTGACTTCAAACAACTCTGGTAATATTAGAATTCGATTCAAAAATATTTATGTGTTAACAGTACTTTGTCATATTGGTTTTTAAATGGATCCATATGTTTTCAGCGGTAGTCTTACGATACAGAATTGAATAAATTACATAAGGTCGTTAAAGCTACTGGCAAAGAGTTGGACTCAAATTTGGGCAGATTTCTCAATATCTTTTAGCCTTGTTGGTAAAATGAATTATTTTTTCAATCTGGTGTTAGGATTCGAACAATAATACATATAATACAAGTGGGAAACTCGATCAACATAAAAAGGATAGTAGTACTTTTAAAGTTTTCACTGAGACAATCTAAAATAATATTGAAAACTAATTTTTCCGAAAAAGGATTAAACTTCAAGTTAAATAAAATGGCTAGTTTAAATTCATAAGAACACAGATATTAAAACTTCCAATTCAGAAACTCTGCTAATATAAGAATGTTTTATATTGGTTTTAAAACACTTAGATCAAAATAAATCAAACCCTAGTATCTTAGCCTCAAAAGTCTGCGTACAGAAAATCTTTACCTATGATGCCAATAAAAACAAGAAAGATCGCTATAGGGGAGTGCGAGGGAGATGGAGATATGCAAGTACCAAAGCGACTGTTCCCAAGATTGCACACCACGCCACTGCGCCACCTAGCGTCGATCCTTTATTTGCTTATACATTTCATGTAGTATATTGAGTCGATGATACATTTAGACAAATACAAAACGTACATTCATTTGTCGATGCAATCATTTTCGTCACAAATGATATAAATTGATTTACCGTACCGAGATAAGGTATACAATTTCGAAATATGACAGCAGAAAAGCGTTCACATAGTATATATTTTGATCAGAATGCCGACATCTCATGTTTGTCGTCTGTCCAGAACTGAATCGAAACTATGAACTATTGATTTCGTACAATTCTGAGCTTTACCGGTTTTTTGACTATTCTTAATTACTTTGTGTTATTTTACTTTTTTTTTTTTTTTTTTTTTTTTTTTTTTTTTTTTTTTTTTTTTTTTTTTTTTTTTTTTTTTTTTTTTTTTTTTTTTTTTTTTTTTTTTTTTTTTTTTTTTTTTTTTTTTTACCTCGTTTGTTGAAATCCGATGCTCCGTTCAAAAGTTATTCCAAAAAAATATTTTTGTGGGTCTCTTAAAGTGCTTGTCCCTTTGTTTGTGGGTTAGTTGAATCTCTTTTTGGTTCTCGAGAAGCTCGAGACAGAAATCTTTTGATCTACGACTTTGTTTAGCTGGAAATCCAAAAAATAGCTCTATTTTAATGCTACACTGACGTGCTACATGTCGCTAAAAGGTAATTTATTATACGTATCATGCTGCCTTTGGTTACATTCTCTATACACAATAGATAACGAATTCTTTTTAAATTTTAAACTGTATAGCCCACGAGATTCCTCAACTTTTC